TGGCAAGATGTGACCGCCCGGCGATCGATATTGCTATGCGCACATCTCGCCACGCGCTCGAATTGGGCGGTAGGCCGGCCTAAGACAACGATTTTTAATAATTAATTACTCGTTAACTATTACAAAAATTGCAAAATGGTACAGGACTTTTCCGTTCATCTCGATCCGTTCTACCTTCTCAAAAATTTTGTCGGATATGGAAAGACTCACCCTGTATTACTTAAGATGTTGCTTACGCGTCTATTTCGACTTTTCAGAACTGTGCGTCGATATGGTTGTCGAACGTACACCGAACTGTCGATACGCGATATCTTATTCTTTTAGATTTCAAATTGCCCGTTCTCAGTCTCTAATTGCTCGGACAGCAAACGATTCTAGGAGGTTGTTAGCTACATCGGTAGGAAGGAAATACCACAGTTTGGAACGATACTGACGTGGGCCAAAAAACGGCCTTATTGACACCCTTCCTTTCTCGCCTATACCTCTATTGTCAGCACATCGCTTCATCATCGTATATGTACACGAACGCGCACGCGCCACGTACAGTCGTATTCACGGCATCCTGGGGTGGACGGAGAAAAAAACGCGAGTGCTGATGAACGCTATTAAATTATAAGCAAGTTTTAGCATAAAGGGGCGTGCATCTGTGAGAAGAGTAGTGTCAACGTACAAACATACGTGTGGCATATCGTCGCGAGATGTTCGTCGTCCTGATTCCGTTCTTCCTAGGTAAGCCGCGAACGAGTAAACTGCCTGGATCCCGCACGTGCTTGTCATTTAACGTCGCACTCGTCTGCACGAATGTAAAATCGCGTGGATACATTTTTCAAAACTTTCATTGACAACGAGATTAATTAAAAATTCTTAAAGGTTTAGATAAACGCCACTCTGAGGTGAGGAAATCAGAGAGAAAATGTATCTCGTACATATTAGCGATTTAGCAAATCTCATTTACGAAAGTTGTATATTTCTAGCGATAGTAAATTTGATAAAATTTTTCGTCACGTTTACTTAGGTGCCCATGTAGATGTCAACGATCCGTCAGATTGGCCGTTTGGGCCGGAGTACTTGTACGACCTGAACATTACTTATATTGTAAACAAGGAGCGCTTCGAACACAAGCGAAACTTTGAATTAATTAACACGCTAAGCTGTCGCCCCAAAATGGAGAACTCTCTAGTCTGCCAGTTGAAAAACAGAACGCAAATAGATTTCAAATTTCTCGAGACGATAGGTGGGCAAGCGGAAGATGTGTTTGAGATCAAATTTACCGACCACGGTGTGGCAGGCCTGAACATCGATCAGAATATCACGGAAACGATGATGAACATTATGCAAAAAATCGCCAATCAGTTTAACGTGTATATTGATCAGAGTAATTCTCACGCGTGGGTATTTCCGGACAGTGAGCACTCGTCAATTGGCAATTGTACAACCATATACACTCTCTCAATTGAAAAACCCAAGACAGACTCGCCGAAGGTAGGACATAAGAATTTTCGACTCGTGATATTGCTGCCGGTCGATAGTGTCGATACCGAAGGTGGAAATCCCTTTGTCATCGAGAAATCTCGTATGGTTTGTTCTGATGCAGCGAAAGACATCACATACCAAGCCTCAGAATTAGAGATGGTACGTATGTGCACGCGCGCGTGCCAGTGTGTGTTCATTTAATTATGTATGCGCGCATAATTTGTGCATTATAATTTTTGCAGGAGAGATTTATCAGCAGATACAAAATCTGTCCAAACAAATTCCGCAGCTTTACCAGATTCAAGGGAAGAGAAGAGAAACCAAGAATAAAAAATACAGATCTGTCAGTTAAAGAATTAATACATATTAATTTAAAAAGCATTAAACCTGCGCAAGATAAACTTCCGACTATTTCCAACGGTAGACCAGTCCAATTAGATGAGTACATGTATGAGTAGAGCAATTTTATAAATTAAGGCGGCGATATATGTACACTCTACTAATATACGTCTGTGCACATACGTTACGTTACGTTGTGGAATGCTACAATTTGCAATATTAAATATCCAACTAAATTCAAACTGCACTTGAATAGAATTAAATAAAGTGTCGCTCAAAATAGTTTCTCCTCTTTCGTCGCTGATATTTTCTATCCTCTCTGTCTACAGTACCTTTCCTTCTCCTCACCTTTCTTTAACCTGCTTACAAATTTTCCTAAAACACGTTTGCGGTTATAAAACATAACGTTTCCATGTAAATAATAATTGTCAGTTCTTCCCCTATCAAATATGATCGTTGCTACGATAATTGACTGCATTTACCTTACAATTGCAGGATAATATTGTCAAAAATATCACATTCAATTTAAAGAATGATATAACTTTCATGTAATACTATAGAGTCTATTTTATATGATATCACACAACACACGTATGTCTCCGTGGTCAGTGGGTTTTTAACAGCGATGTCATTTTCTAAAACTTGCGAGCAACCGTAGTGGACAAAATCGGTTTTATTCGTGACCCACTAACGTTGCTGCTCGAACATTTCAGAAAATGACATCGCTATTAAAAGTCCACTCACTACCGAGACGTACATGAGATTATGAATTTGCTGCGATAGACTCATTTTGTTTCGGCATGAAATTAATTTGTTCAGTCAACAGATTATACTCGAAAAGGACCGTATTAAGCTCTGTCGGAGCATTAGGACTTAAATATATGTCACTTTTTTGCCAGATTGGTCCATTTTTAAAAGAACTTCCCCGTGTTTATTAATTTAACTTTTCGTAGAACAACGTCCGAAAAGTAAAATCACCCTCTCGCTGCTTTACAATAATAATGACGAGCGGTGTCTCGCCCGTTACCGTATATTCCGCAAGAAGGTCGTTTCCTAATTTTTCGCCTATGCCTCTATTGTCACGACATCGCTTTGTGATCATATGCGAACGTGCATACGCCACATACAGACGTATTCACGGCATCCTGGAGCACGGAGGGAAGACGCAAGCGCTGCTGAACGTTCTGCTATTAAAGCTAGTGTAAGAAAAGTAGTGTCAACGTACAAACATACGTGTGGCATATCGTCGCGAGATGGACGTCACTCTGATTCCGTTCATCCTAGGTAAGCCGTCAGCGAGTAAACTGCCTGAATCCACGTGCTTGGCACTTAACGTCGCACTCAGCTGCACGAGTGTAAAATCGCGTAGATACTTTTCCCGTAACTTTTACTGACAGTGAGAGGAATTTAAAAAGTTCTCAAAGGTTTGGATAAATGAAATTCTGAAGGGAGAGAATCGGGGAGGAAAAGTGTCCCGTACATATTAGAGATTCAGCAAATCTCATTTACAAAAATTCTATCAGTCTCGTAACGGTAATACCAAGGTTGATAAAATTTTCCGTCGTATTTACTTAGCGGCCAAAGTATTCGTCCAGGACATGTCAGAGTGGACGTACGGGCCGGAATACGTGTACGACCTGAATATTACTTATGATATAACACCGGAGCCGCCCGCACCTGTCGACAATTCTCGGCAAGAAGTCGACAACATTCAATTAATTGCTACACTAAACTGTCGCCCCAAGCATAATGACCATCTATTCTGCCAAGTGAAAAACGCAACCGAAATTACCAACGACAACCGGAACGAGCAAGGGCTGAAATATGCGCTAATGGATCGTGCGTTTGAGATCGTATTTAACGAGCGCGGTGTGGAAGGCTTGATCATTGACGTGACTCACACGCAAGCGGTGGATCTTGTCCGGAAGATCGCCAATCAGTTTAACGTGCTTTCTAATCGAAGTAAAATCGACGAGTGGCAATTTTACACCAGGGAGGGCACGGCAATGGGCGATTGCTGGACCGCGTACAGAATCAGTCGCGAGGAACCCGCGACGGAAGAGTTTAAGATAGCAGGTACCGATTTTCGCTTCGTAATATTGCCGTTCGTCGACATGAAGCCTGGGACGGCTTTTTCGATTACAAAAACTCGGATGGAATGTAAGAATTCGCCGACTAGCGTCGATTTCGTAGCAGGAAGCTTAGGAATGGTACGTATACGTACGCGTGCCTGTGTATGTATGATTTTTACATTGTAATTTTTGCAGCTGAAATTTTACACCACAACCGAAATCCTTCCGAACAAATTCGAAGTCTCTTCCGTATTCGTTGGAAAAGTAACAGGGACGCAATCCGGAAAGGAAATATTGACATTTAAAGAAATAATATACATTAATTTAAACAGCATTAAACCCGCGCAAGGTGAAGTTCCTCATGTTCATATGGGCGAACTGTTCGATTTAACAGCCAACACTCAGATATCAGGCACTATGGTGGATGATTAAAACGACTATATGAACTGGTATGTGTCACGTTACGTCGTAGCGAGGCTATAATTTGCTGGTATTAAATGTCTAATCAAATTAAAACTGCATATTACTTGAGTTAAATAAAGTATCTTGCAAAACTGTTGCCTTTCCTACGTCTCTGACGTTTTTCTACCCTCTCTATCTGCACTATCTTTCCTTCTCGTCGCCGTTCTTTAACCCTTTTCTGCTAACAAATTTCCCTAAAAACCGTTTGCGATTATAAAACGTAATGACTGGAGGAAATCTTATAAGTTACCAGAAGTAATTAAAAACTTCAGAAGATTTTACTTGACCATGCTTGGCAAATTTTTATGTTTAATCTCACAACGTCTCGACCATGGTTTTTGATCCTTTTTAAATTATAATTGTGTCAGTAAATCCGTATGGAAAATCAAAAGAATTGATCTTAATTTCACGGTTAACAGAACATGACTGACAAACCATGGTCCAAACGTTGTGAGTTGAAACATAAAAATTTGCCAGAAACGATCAAGTAATCTTCTGAAGTTTAAAAAAACATTATTTCGATGTATACGCAATCATCAGTTCTTCCTCCGTCAAATACGATTGTAGTTACGATAATTTGCTACAATTACCCCACAATTGCAATATAATATTGTCAAAAAAATATCACATTTAACTTAAAGAATGATGTATCTTCGATGAAATACCATAGAATCTATTTTATACGATATCCCACGTACGCACGCGCGTGCACGCACACGCAAACGCATACGGTTGGAGTTTCCACGGGCCACGAGTTGCCACGATTGGCAACGGCGAACCGGCAATCTTACGCCTTCCGGATTTTCGCTACCGGGCCAATCGGCTGTCCACCCTTAGCGGTCGGTCTCCGTTATCGAAAGGAGACAACATGTTCCTTACTTTAACTTTTCGGAGGACAACTCCGAGAAATCACACCACTCTTGTTGCCTGACAATAATAACGACGAGCGGTATCCCGCCGGTTACCGTACGTTTCGAAATAAGATCGTTTTCTTATTGTTCGCCTACCCCTCTATTGTCAGGACATCGCTTTATCATCGTATATGTACACGAACGTGCACGCGGCCACGCACAGTCGTATTCACGGGACCCTGGGGTACGGAGAAAAGACGCGAGTGCCGACGAACACTACGCTATTAAATTATAAGCAAGTTTTAGTATAAAGGGACGTGCGTCTGTGAGAAGAGTAGTGTCAACGTACAAATATACGTGTGGCATATCGTCGCGAGATGTACGTCGTCCTGATTCCGTTCTTCTTAGGTAAGCCATCAACAAGTAAACTGCCTGGTCCACCCAGAGAACATGCATATCTAAAAGACATCGTTAAGAGAACTATTAGACGTCTTATGTCTAGAAAACGTCTAATAGACGTCTTAAAGATGTCTTTTGAACATGTTCTCCGGGCACGTGCTTATCATTTAACGTCGTACTCGTCTGTACGCATGTAAAATCGTGTGGATACATTTTCCAAAACTTTTATTGACCACGAGAGGAATGAAAAATTCTTAAAGGTTTAGATAAACGAAATTCTGATGGGAGGAAATCAGCGAGGAAACGTATTTTGTACATATTAGAGAGTTGGCAAATCTCATTTACAAAAGTTGTATCTTTCTAGCGATATTAATACTAATTTTGATAAAATTTTCTGTCACACTTACTTAGCGGCACAATCCACAATCCGGCAGAATGGACGCTTGGGCCGGAATACTTGTACGACGTGAACATTTCTTATGTTGTAAACCCCACGGTTCCCTGGGAAAATAATCAGTTACTCACCACAATAATATGTCGCCCGAAAATGCGAAACTATCTACTGTGCCAGTTCACAAAGGAATTGAGTTTGAAGCGCTTATCAACGAAGCCTTATAGCTTCGTGGGGCTATCCACCTGGTGAGGGCTAGGAGGGCGAGCAGAAGATACGTTTGAGATCAAATTTACCGAGCGCGGTGTGGAAAGCCTGATTGTCGATCGGACCAGCTACGGACCAGATGTGCAGACTATGCGAAAAATGGCCAATCAGTTTAACGTGATTGATGATCGGAAAAATTTGGGCAAGTGGCAGTTTATACGGAAAGTGAGCGCTCGTTGATGGGCAATTGCACGACCACTATCTCGCACGACGAAACCGAGGACGAAACGGACACGCACGAGGAAGGAGATACCGATTTTGAGCTCCTGACATTGCTGTCGGCCAACATCGAACCTGGAACGCCTCTTTTCCTTGAGAAATATCGGAAAGTTTGTTACAATTCACTCGGCAAGGTCATATTCGACAACGCACAATTAGAAATGGTACGTATTGTGCACGCGCGTGTGCCTGTGTGTGCGTGTGCAATTATGTATGTGTGCATAATCTGTGCATTATAATTGTTGCAGTAGAGATTTGTCAGCAAATACAAAATCCATCAAAAAAAATTCGAAAGCTTTACCAGATTCCAGGAAAAGATAGGAGATGATCAGTCAATTACAGAAGTAGTATATCTTGGTTTACGCAGCATTAGACCGGCACAAAGTAAACTTCCGACCATTTCCAACGGTGAACTGATCGAATTAAGCTAACATTAATGTATAGAGCAATTTTATAAACTAAAGCGGCTATGTATGTACACTTTACTAAATATATGTCTATCCACATATGTTACGTTACGTTGTAGGATGCTGTAATTTGCAATATTAAATATCTAATCAAATTAAAACTACACTTGAATAGAATTAAATAAAGTACCTCTCAAACTAGTTGCTGTCTTTCGTCGCTGATGTTTTTCTGTCCTCTCTATTTACAGTATATTTCCTTCTCCTCATCTTTCCTTAATCCTTTGCTGCTTACAAATTTCCCTGAAACACGTTTGAAACACTCTAGAATCTATTTTGTATGATATTACGCATAATACAAATAAGCGCTTTAGAATATAATATAAATATACTAATTCTGTAGAATTAATCAATTCTAATGTTATGACATCGTTTTATCATCGCATGTCTATACGAACGTGCGTACGTCACATACAGTCGTAATTGACGGCATCCTGGGGTACGGAGAAAATATGCAAGCGCTGTTAAACGTTATGCTATTAATTTGTGAGCAAGTTCTCATATAAAGGAGCGTGTGAGTGTAAGAAGTGTCGCGTACACAGGCTGAAGCGCATTGTCGCGAGATGAACGCCATCCTGATTCCATTCTTCCTAGGTTGGTAAGACATTAACAAATATCTACAACCGCCCGAATCCACGTGCCTATGATTCAACGTCGCACTCGTCTGTCCGAGTGCAAACTCGCGTACATTTTTGAATATTCTCACTGAGAGCAATTTAAAAGTTGGCAAAGGTTTAGATGAAGAAAATTTTGAAGGAAGAAAATCAGATAGGAAGAGTATCTCGTACATACTAGAGATTTAGAAAATTTCATTTCCAAAAACTATACATATAGATAGAATAAAATAAACATAACATGCAAAGTTTCTCTTCTTTTATCTCTGATGTCTTTTTACCGTCTCCATTTGCACTATCTTTCCTTCTCCTCGCCTCACCTCCCTTTCCCGTCACTAATCCACTTGAACGGTAAGGAATTCCAGTAAATATAATCTCGGAGAAAAATCGAGCTCTCAATATTTTCAGGTAGCTAAGCAATGACTTTTCCGTGGAAAGTGACTACCACAGCAAAGACAATTTAATTCGAAATAAATTGTGTGGCTTTAAAAGGTCAAACTTGAGTAACGGCACGTTGTAATGCACGAAATTTTAGCCTAGGAAATATGTAATTGTAGCGAATTTGTTAGAGGTCAAAAGTAAGTGCGTCACGTTTCCACGAAGTCGTCTAATAATTAGCGTTGGAGCGTGGAGTGAATTAAAATGAATTACCTAATAAGATCGTCCTTAATGACATAAAAGTGGTATAAAAGCGGCCTCAAGATTAAGGGCGGCGTCAAACCGCGTGGTTTGTGTACGGTGCCATGATTGTCGCAGAGCTTATACCATTCTTCCTAGGTGAGTCAGTGGTTCGTAGATTATATTACAAATTGTGTTGTAATTCTCGCATCTTCTCTTTCCTGCAATTTGACAGAAGAAATACTTTTGTACGTTATACTTCAATGACAAATAACAAATGTTACAAACTATTAGCCGTGCAACTTCCCACCAAGGATGTTGCCTGGCCGCACGGACCCGAGTACATTTTCACCGTTCACATGAACGTGACGGGGATACCGCAGTGTCCTCATCACGTTTCAGCGTGCGGCGATCCGTCCGGCTATCGTATCACCTCTCGGCTGCATTGCACCCCGAAGAGGAATGACACTCTGAGCTGCGGCCTCAGGCACGTCGACGGCTTCGAGTTCGGTGAAAAGGACTTCGCGAACCAACGGAGGAACCTCATCGAGGCGCCTAGTGAACTGTTGTTTAACGAGAAAGGCGTCGACAGTATCGTCACGAGCCAGTTGACGCGGGTCTATGACCTCAACAACCTGAAGACGGTGGCCGAGCAGCTGCATCCCGGTAGCGACTTCAATAATATCGGAAATGGCAGCGTCGTCCAGGATGTAACCGCATCCACCATAGGCAAATGCAACGTCACCTTCGATGTGTATCACCGTCTCGATGAAAACGCAAAGCCATCTCGCCGCAACTACCAGTTGATAATACAGCCGCTGAGGTTGCACATGACTTCCGAACAAACCCTCGTCATCGACAAGACGACGAATCTTAACGATTGCAGCTGCTACGCAGACAGCTACTTCGGCAAATATGGCGACAAGGTTGTCGATGAAAGATTGAAATCGAATTTGGTAAGTCATTTGTTAATTACCGAACATTGTATAAGTATAATAGTTCATCGAATGCTTATGAAAATTACCGTCAATAACTTCAATTTGTGCTCAACAGCTTGAACGTCAACACTTGATTGTTCTAATTTTATGTCAAATATCTTGAGAAACTCGACAAAACTCGATTGATACAACACATTTTTAATATTTGACCATAATCAGCAAATTCACTCACTTTGAATATAACAATTGTTACGTGACGTTTAATGTAGCACATAAATATTTTAAAAGTATTTTTAAATAGGCAAAAATTTGTAAACATTCCTAATTTGCCCATTGCAGATTTCATATGTTGGCTAATATAATTAAGTACAAAAATGATACTTCGATCATACAAAGAATCGTGAAATTATTCTTAATTTGTATCATCTTTTCAGGACATGATGGTCAGTCACATGGAAATTAATGATGCGAGTTTTAGTTCGTCTACAACAAGAAAGGGAACGTCGACGTCAAATAACAAACTGTATAACATAACTGAAATTACAAAAGTAATCTTGGAAGACATTCGACCTGCCACGAGGGACGCACCCGCGATCGTAAAACCGGGTGAGACCAAGATAATTGCTAATGACGATATACGAAGTATTTCTACTGGTTAGTAATAATTATTAAAAATATTAATGTTACGAGTACAATAAAGTTAACTTTAAAAAGACATCTCGCAATAAAAGTGTGTATACACATATAATACATTTGACATTTACGCATACTGCAGTATGTTTCCTGTACAACATGACTTGTAAAAAAATGATTAATAAGTTAAAAATGTAAGAAATAAAAACTTACACACTATAGCAACAATATAGATGACGTTTAGATAAAAATATACGGAAAATAATTTCATTTAACCCAGCGTACTCCTAAGATTATTTCCTAAAGATAATATCCAATAGTTCATTTTACGTATTATTATTAGTTAATAGCATGAAGTAAAATTGTACATAGCAAATTTCTTTTATTAAATGACGCGTACATTAAATTATAATTAGAACAATGGACGCATTTTCACGTACACATACAATATGAAATGTGCGTGTATCTGTATGTATAATACGCGCGTATGTGTCTATACATGAAATGTGTACGTATACAATGATCGTAAATTGAAAGTTATTTAATGATTGCGATACTTAATTCTAATTAGTCAAATTGCAAATGGCCCTCGAGATTTTTGGAATCGCGTCATCGCATTATGCTAATACAAACGTTTCAAATCTGCGTCACATTAATTTTCACTTTTCAGCTCCTTGTCCCTTTCTTGGACCAATTTCTTCACATATATTATATAAATGTATTATAATCACATCTACTTCGTTGCCTCTTGAAATAATGCAATTTGGTATTAATAAATAGGTATTACATTAATGATAAAGACAACGAATTTAATATCCACAGAAGAAAACAAGTTTGGAGAAGTAATAGAAGTATATTATACCTATGCAACTCGCGATAATATGCATTGCACTTGATTCATTGTAGATAATTTCTCACATATATTACGTTCAGCGTTCGTTTAGAATTAACAATTGATCCACATTGATGTAATTTAAGTCAACGACTACATAATTGCAATAAATGCAAGAAGCATGCTAAATTCTTTCTCATCTAATATCCATTCCTTGCAACAATCTCTAAAATTTAACGCACAAAAATCAATTAATTACACTCACTACAATAAGGTTCGTCCCAAAATATTTTTAAAAGGACTTTTGCTTCCGTTCATCTTGCAGTTGATCATTCGCTTGGTTGTAAAGGGAGCATTTTCTTTTAAAAAAAACTAATTCCTCAATCTATGTATATATATATATATACATATACATATACAACGAAATATGTATGTCGCAAAGATACGCAAAATCGAGAAAAATCTGTGTTTTTTTTAACTCGAAGAGCATTCACGAACATTGTTTCATCTTTAGATCCATAAGTACGATTTGATCCGAATCGAATATAAATATATTGTTAATATTGAATCATGTTTTAGATTTCAATTCACTTAAAATGGCACGATTACAATTATTTTTGTGCGTCAACATGATAACATAATTATTATTCACTGTGCATTTACACGATCAATAATCGACTGATAGTTTTCGAATATGCATTATGTTGAATATGTTAGTGACACAGAACTATTGCTGCGCTAGCGAGAAGGCAGATTTCATGAGTGAAGTATCAAAAGGCCTCCCTCTTCCTATTTCAGGAATTAATTCGTTTAGTGCCAAACAAACTGTGTAAAAAGTCATCAATATTCTCATGTAATATACAAGTAAAGATATAAGATATACTTATAGTTTGTACAGCCATCGTAAATTACACTGGATATAAAATGCATTCATACGATATTAATGTGCGAGAAAAATAGTCAACTAAGAAGTTTTAGACCGCCACGGCCCTCTGACAAACACCGTGAATCACTGAGAGCGCGAGAAAATAACCGTTTAAATAGATCACAAATCTCTTACATCTAGATTATCAAATACGTATGTATACCTCATGTTAAGTTATATATTTATGACTGCACTGTATAATTTGAATGTTAAATTATTGTTCTACGTGCGGGACAAGATTTAGCTGCTTAAGATGTATACGAGGTGTGTCCCAAAAGTATCCGACCTCTGCATATATCTTTATCCATGGGCATCCTATTGTGGAAAACAGGTATTCAGGTATTTAATTAATTCGTTCCATGAGTGCCTACGGAAGAACAAAAGAATTCTCGAGGTCAAATTGTCAACGACATCCTAGGGTTTATCAACAAAGATCCAGAGTTATTTAAGAGAGTGCCAAGTTTTTGGCAAAATTTAATACAAATTCTCTGCTCGACTCGTTCAGTCATTGTAAAATGCGACGCTCGGAATTTTCGACGCTCACACAACTGCGTACCGTTGCCGACTTAACAGGTGTTGGGTCGTACCGTTTGGTGGGGGTACTTTTAAAGGTCCACCTTAAATACTGAATACCTGTTTTCCACAATAGGATGCCCATGGATAAAGATATATGCAGAGGTCGGATACTTTTGGGACGCACCTCGTACATATAAGACATTGCAGAATTTTTGATCAAATCTTGATGAAATCAAACATCATTTTCAATCTTCTCTCTTCGAGGAGAAAACCCCTGGGAAAATTATAATTTATTATAATTTATATTTTTTAGATTCAATAATCAATAAGTTTGCTGGCAGGCCTGAAATTAAAGCTTTTCTGAAGGAATGTATTGTTAAAATTAACACTGGCATATCCCATATAATTAGAATGAATATTTGAGGATGCACTTTCAATATTTTTCGATGGTTTCTAGCGTACTTTTCTATTTCCTCGCTGTATGAATATTTGATATAAAATCGATTTATACAAACCTGACGTGATATTAGTAGTAATGTGAAAACGAATGATATGATTGCATAAACGATGGAGAAGGAGAATTCCACTTCGCACGGTAAGACACGATAATCAGTCGCATGTAGTAGAACAGTGTTTAGAATAAATAGTGCCAATTCGAACGACTTACTCATGACAACCTGTACCCTACTTATCTCATAAGTAAATACACTTTCTGGCACGAGAAGTATTCGATATACCATGAATCTTGAATACTTATAATCAAAATTATTATCGCCGTATATTCCATAATAAAAGATCTACCTAAATGTTATTAAAAATTTTGAATCCTTATATCGCACATACAGATAACTGACTATATAGACATAATCGTATGGTTCAATAAGAAATATCAAAATTGTATATTAATATAATGTCTTTCACCAATGATCTTGGTACTCTTGATGTATCTCACACGATATTCGTTCAACAAACAAACGGGGATCAAATGATAGCTCGTCAGGAATCCAAGGAGTTCCCCTTCTCGTCTTATGAATTCTTCCTAGCAGTAATAATCCTTAATATTCTGTCCGAATCAAATTAACTTAATCTACGTATATACAAATATTACGCTCGTGGAAGAGGCGTGAGGTGGCGCGATTCGACCAAAAGTTCTTGTGTACAAAAAGATAAACGGCACGTGTTAGATGGGACATGGATTGGTGTGTGCCGATATTATTGGCCGTTGTTTACGTTGTTCTGTTGATTTTTCACGGAGTCCATATTCGGGATGTAATCCATCGCCATCAGGCAAGCGAACACCGTCATCACCATCTTCGGCTTCACTTCAGTAATGTCCTCCGGCAGCGCGTAGACACGCGCTCCGCACTTCCGCGCCAAAGATATCGCGTACTTTGCATTGTCCAAACTTTCCTGTGTAACGAGAGAACAATAGTTGTCGATTGGCCATGTTAATAATGGGGCGCTAAGAGGAATCAAGCCATTTAAACTGGAACATTTCACATTTTCATGCAATTGTATAATGTAATTGTAAAACTTTCAGACTTGGAACTTTCGCGAGCGGCATAGCAGGAAAGTTTCTAGAAATTTGCGAAACATTAATTATGGATACGGGCTAACACCTGCGGGCACAGAGATATCTGACTACTGAAAGAAATAATTTGCTGGTATTTGAATACGCTGGATGATCAATAGGAACAGGTGCTTCTGCATATACATATAGTTTGGCCCGCTAGAGAAACTATTTATGCCACTGCAGATTGTTATCGATCAAAGTAGAAGTCTTTGAGATTGACTTGGATGGGTTTTATTAGGTTTTTTGATTGATATGTTGTAGGGTTAAAAAATTAGAAATTCCTCAATGTTTCTATTAGTTTCTGAAAAAATGATATTGTGAAATTTGAAGTTTTGCAATGTTTTGATTAACTCGCGCGATGAGTTAAAGTCTGCAGAATGCACTCGATGCCAATGATATGTGCATAACGCGAGCATAAGCGTGGCGCGATCTGTTAGAAATAGTTATTGCAATACAAATCGAATTAGCCTTGACATTAACTGAGAACACGAGCTCTAAGAATATTGACAAGTTGAAACCTTACATTTTCAGTTCCGCCCTCCTTGACGAGATCGTAGTTAACCGAACCGGGCTTGATGGCGTCGATGAGATCGAGGACAACTTTGCCATCCGATATTGAATAATCCTGAAATCCCTTGATACTACTGGCCTTGCCAGCCGCTTGGAGTTTCGAATTCACCCATTGTACAATTTCTTTCTCCACAAAGGTACTTCCCTGAGTACCAGCCAGAGACGTCAGAATTGACAATGTGTATGACCTCATCAATTGCCATATCAGAGCCAACGTCAGAGTTGCATTTCCGTCGTTGAGATCCTGCCCGGCGATGCCCACGAGCGAAAAGTTCATTTGCTTGCCTAGTTCGACGGCGTAATTGCAGTTTTCCAACTTCTCCATAAACTTTCGAAGTTTCGTGAACTTCTTATGAACCTTGTTCCAATTCACAGTGCCTGGTTTGATGATGTCGTACAACTGGAAGATCACCAGACCATCAGCGAGGTCTGAGTAGAGCCAATTGACGTGTGGCGACACGCCCATCGAGTTCATCCAGTTTCTATACGTCTTTTCCTCTCGTGTCTCCTCTAGAGACTCTAAACCTTCGATGTTGCTTTCTGGCTTGTCTAACCCAGGATAATTGTTAAACATATTGGCGACAAAGGCCAAGTTGAGCTTGTAAATGCCATTTACGACATCGCTAGGTGTCACAAAAGTACGACAGCCCAGTTTCGCAGCTTGCTGGAGCATAATCTCCGCCCTAGACATGTGGTTCGGTTCCATCAGAGCTTCCAAGGTGACACCGGTTGAGTTCGGTGCAATCTGTTTGATGAGATAAGTGTAAATCTCAGAGTCCGTGATGTCAGACTGGAAGTTGTTGCACCGCCTAGCAATGCCGGCATTCTCCAAGTGATGGTTCACCCATCTGAGAAGAATGGACTCCGGAGAGAGCTTCAATAGATCTTCGATTCGTTCGCCGTCTTGCAGAAGAGTGGCCAGACCAGGGCAGTTCTCGAGGGTGATCTGGTTAAACAAGCCGATTCGGATGATTTGCCAGAGCAGACCCAGCACCAAATGAGGCGAACCTTTGGTGAGGTCATGGGCGTCGATGTTTACGATGTTGCAGCCAATAGCCTGGGCCGAGGATAGAGCCAGCGTTAAGTTCTCATGCTTCTTGTATAGCGTCAAGTTCTTCTTGTTGATCGTGCGTTCATCGATGGTGTCCGGGCAAGAGTGATTGATTATTTTACTGAAAAATAGATGCAACATTAATTTTCGATAAGTCAATCACTTTTAGGGTCATGTACCCATCGAGATTAGAATTAATCAAGTTTTGATATTATTCAGAAATTAATCTAAATTTATGCTTCTTACAATTCCAGCTATATCTTCTATTAATCAATATAATTATCTATTAATTTATACAAAAGATACATTTTAATTAAATTTTAGAATAATTCGAAGTAAAGATAAATATTTTTACATTAACTTTTTCACGTTATATTAATACAATGTTAAATTTGTTTTCGCATAAATAAGTAAAGAGATGCAAGAGGGCTGCATACAAATGTACACACCAGAGCAATATTCCATCTTTGACCTTATCGTAGAGTGTCTTTCCCTCGGGGTCGATAGGCAGCAAGTGCTTCAAGTCAGGATCGTGCGACAGATTAGTGTTTATCCAATCGCTGAACGCCAGTTGTTCCTCGAGCCTGACGGAATGCGTGGTTCCTTCGCTCGACGCCTCGGAAATACCACCTAGAGTCTCGAGGTTCTCCTTCTTCGATACGACTTGCTTAAACGTGGAACCCAGTTCGTTGGCCTTGAGTTCCTTGCAGAGCTTCTCGAATTCCTCGAAGGAGAGCCGACCTTTGTGCTCTAGTCGCTGCTTATCGTCGTACTCCTCGATCATCTGACGCACCTTGTAGCCTGGCATTTTGAAGCCGCAAACGTCCAAAGCGTTTCGCAACTCGGTGACGTTGATGAAGCCATCCCCGTTCGCGTCAATCTGCCCGAGAAAGAAGATCATTAGCTCTTCTATCGAAAATTCGATGACACAAGGGTGGAAGTTGTGGAAAAACATTCATTCTTCTTTTATATTTAAGATATTTTTTCCCGCATTGATATCAGTTGTGCGCGGATGATTTTTCTTTTATCTACGGCTCATATTAGTTCTTTTTTTCATTTGGCTATTGCCGAGTAGGTAGATAATGTCAGATAAATTAAACTTGCAACACACCACTCTTGATAACATTGTGCAATATCGCAGTAATAACTTTTCTACAACGCGATTTCCGTCACGCAGAAAGATATGTATCTATTAAGAAAGGATGATTGCGTACGTGTAGATAATAAAATACAATTAATTTAATGATCAGGACTCGTAACGAGTATTAACAAATTTCGTAAAGCATTGCGATAACAAAGGGATAATTAGACTCGAATGGATGCGAATGTCTTCTACTGCTTTCCGAGATTTTAACGTAGTATAGATAACGCTAGAGAATCCACCTGATTATTTTTGCTCTCCTACAGAAAATAGAAAGAAAAAAAATTGATAATGTATTATTTTACGGCTAAAATATCTTAACACGCGCGCACTTATTCTTCCTCAAACCTCTGTTATCTGATTTAAATTTGGATTATACTACGACTTAACGCGAATAATACAAAATGGACAATTTCTAAGGTCATTTTAATTAGTTTTCGCATGATTATGCGTCTACCGTTAAAATCCCATCAGAAACGGGTTATAGAAACGGTTAGAGGAAAGGCATCTATGTAATTCTCGCGAAGTCGCAGGGCTTAGCGCGAAAGAAATCCAGGCCACGAAAAATTCCGCTAGAAGATCCGCAAGCATATCTATGCATCGTGTAGACATTGCAATTTTTGCCTGAGAACAATGGGCATACGGTAACGACGTGAACAGTCGTGTAAGCGGTTTCTGAGAAGATAAGGACTTTCATCGGGGTTAATCGGCAGTTCTTCGCGTCCATTTGAGAAATGCTCTCAAGAACGTACGTGTATTGTCGGTTAATTAAGATCCTATTCTTACCGAAATCCTAGAATAGAATGCCGAACGCTCGTTTCTGCTGCCGAATGGAGATTCCGGACGATTTGCAATTTCGCAATTTACGAATCAGTTTGATTCATTTTCGCATTTATTCGTGTGAAACGTTTGTGCGCAAATTTGCCGCTTCATTTAATTAGCTCAATTAATTTTAGTTTAACTAACGGCTGATTAGCTGCAAAAGAAATTCTGCATACAGTTCGTAAGATTTGTTTGTCTCTCCCTGTCTCTCCGTGTCTCTCCCTGTCTCTCCCTGTCTCTCCTGATCTCTCCTTGTCTTTAACTGTCTTTCCTCGTCTCTCCCGGTTTCTCCTTATCTCTAACTCTCCACCCCCCCCTCTCTCTCTCTCTCTCTCTCAATTACAAGCCCACATAGCACATAATATATCAGTAATATTATAATATTGCAGTAATATTACTGATATAATACATTTATATAATACATTGCAATATTACATTAATATTACTGATATATTACATAGAAATATTACACGGTAATATTGCTGCAATATATCAGACCCAAAGTAGCGCAAGATGATGTCAAATGACTTTTTAATTACGTTTTTTTACGCCATTATGCCATGAAGACGTCACTTAATGTCACGTTGCTATTTGGCACTTTCCAATGTATATCACGTTGAAGTACGAATAAAATATTATAAGGGTAATTTTTAATACGATAAATCATCTTTAAGAATGACTACAGAAACGCATTATTAAACAATTATTGGAGAGATTATACAGCCTGTGACCATATTTTCCGTATAGCCATCATACCCGGGTTTACGCTAATCTAATTCCTTGCAATATTACAGTAATATTATAGTGATATATTACAGTAGTATTGCGTGATACGTCACAGTAATATTATTGTGATTATCACAGTAATATTACTACGATTATCTCGGTAATATTTTAATGGGCGGACATTTTAGTATTACTGTGATATATCAGTGATATTACAGTAATATTTCCTATATATTTTATTGTATTGTTACATTGGAAATGTAATATTACTGTGATACTACTGTAATATTACGTGCTACGTGGGAGATTACTCTGACAAAAGAAAATATACATCGGAAGAGGAAGGTTTCAAGATTATCGCATTCCTTCTAGCTGTTTCTAAATACTTTATCGAACACTTAGCACGAATTATCAAAGCTGTATTAGGACGTTCACTAAAAAATTTACAAAAAAAAATAAAATTTGAGTGCACTCACGAAGTCAAATAGCTCTCGGAAATCCTTAAAGTATTCCTGCATGGCGTCCCATCTTTTCATATTACAAATTTCCATGTCGAGAAAAGACAGGCCTCGCCCCGTGGAAAAAGGATCAAACTGTTGCGAGACACTAAAATGTACTGAAACTGACATCGAGAATTTATCTATCAGCCTTATCGATCGCGCAATAAAGTATAACGTAAAAAATCGAACAGAATATCCTCAGAAGCATCAATCGGGTTTGATAACACAGTAACATAAAAAATGTTATCGCCATCTTATCACGACCAATCAATCAATTAGAAACAAACTATATCTTATGTCTCAAAACTAAACACTTAGTCGGTATTAAAATATTCTTGATCGAAATAAGAAAAATATACATTTCGTATTAATGTAATATAAAATTTTCTAACAAGACTTATATGAAAATACACAGTATCCAATAATTTGATTGTTACATGCCCAGCTAAAGAAAAAATTAAATTTAGGCATAAAATATTATAACATTAAAAGAAAAGAAAAGAAAAATTACATGATATTTGTTAATAATATAATTAAATAATCAACCTTATTGCGTTTTTGGTATCGATAAGAGAACGGAAGTTGAAAAATTGTGCACATGGTTGCATTGTCAAAAACAAAACATCATTTTTGTATATCGAAAATGTTTGCGCACAATAAAGATAAAATACTGAAAAAGCCACAAAAAGTAATTAAAAATACTTTTATGAAATAGCGATAACAATTTCAGCGATACTTTGTGACAAAATGCAAATAGATACGTTATCTAAGTTCCATACATGCTTATCGTAGTACGTAAAGTTATATGCCGTGCATCTATATTCAATATAGAATACGTACATTTTTGTATTTTTTAAATATTTTTTTACGTTTACTTGTATTAGCATCTGCATGTTTTGTGTAATGCAACAAAGTTTAGAAACGTGATACATATCCTTTTATAACAATCTGATACCCACGCTTTTCCCACAAAACTGTCTTTCACCTCGTCACGGGAACATGTAAAATGTGAAACGCAAGAAAGGCACTTCTTTGAAGTTTTTCCGTATGCATAACGGACGTGCCATCAGTCCGCGAGCGAGAGACGCGGCGAGGAAAAGGCGACGGAAAAGGGAGTAAGAGTCCGCTAACCGAACGTTTAGCGGACCGTCTGTCGTAACGTTTCCCCGTGAAAACACACGTGCTTCCTGTCATCGTTTCGTTTTCCCGACAGTTACGCGGGTCGTCACCGTACAATTTACGGACGCATCAGCGGAGAACGCACGTCTTTCGCGCTTATCAACGCGTACAGCGGAATCCGGAAAGCGAATAGCGAACGAAAATCAATTGAGCGCGAATGCGCGCCGTTTCGAGCAATTCTCTTTTTATCTTCCCTATCAACCGTGTATCCAATCGCAGCCAGAGAAACAGCCGAGTTAAAAACACACTATTATCACATCGTATCAAGGTAGATTCGGATCAACCTGTTAAGAATGAATGACCGCGAACGGACACTTATGGATACACGTGGACGGACACATTTTCTTTGAAACATCGACAGAAGATAACAATATATTCGATAAGTCAATTTCCATTATTTCTACTTAATACTAAATTGAGTATAAAATATTTGAGCACGTGAAAATACTAAACAAAGATACAATTAAGAACGAAAGAAATTTTTGATAACTATGTAATTTGCACGCGTTTACAATTTGTGCAAGTTGAACAATTTAACAAGGACCTAAGCGATACATTCTACTAAAAGACTTTGATTACTAACGCGTGTGTGATATTTCGTGATGGCGCTTATTTCGCTTTTTTCCGGCAATCAGCTTGCTGCCTTCAGGCAAACACGTGTATAGTTTCAAGCAGCTGGTGTATACAATAAAGTGCACACACCTGCCATCGGTGGAGTGCCAAGGTGAAGAAGTTCGACCACGTTTGTATAACAACGTTATTTCGTAATGTGTAAGATAACACCTCTAATTGTTTCTCAATGAGTCGATACGGAATAATCCTATTGGCGTTCCGGTGAAAATTAAAACAGGCCGAGGACATTTGAGAAGCATCCAAAGAAAATATACGAACGTTGAATTTCCTCATAGGCAAATGCATTTTTTAAGAAGTCTGTTCTCCCATTAGATTCTGTCTATCGTGAATGCAAAACTAACCGCAGGGGGAAAAATATATCTGCGCGTGAAAATTTGCCTAAAAGTTCAATCTTATTTGCTTTAATTTGCAATTCTATATTAATTTTTCAGTTCGCATTCTCTTTTATTGATGTGCACTTCCGCATACTTGATATAATTTTATTTAGTTTGACTATTTTACTTTTATTTTCCCGTCTCTGTCTAATAATACATTATTTCTTTCGCGAGTACTGTGAACTAAGTTTCTCTCTGGCACGATGGCCTATCGAATCCCACTCATTAAACCAATATCATGTTTTTCCTGTATAAAATCCGATCAGATTCCAGATAACTGTTACAGCGGGCTATTAAAATATAATTATTTGGATAAGGCTTGGAAAAAATTGCTCCACTATTTGAATGGCAGACAGGACACCCTATAGAACCGAGAGCACACACTCCCCTAAGGTCAAACTTCTCTCTCCCCCCCCCCCCTCTCTCTCTCTCTCTCTCTTCTTTCGCTTTTATCCTGAGAACTGGTTTCGTCCGGCATCGCGTTGCACACTATGTCTCCGTCTCG